TAATTGGGCCAGATCCATATTTCATTTAACTATAGTTGTGCTTTGCATCTTGCCCTACAGTTAAATTATTTCTGGTAGGAATAAATTCCAATTGTAACAATTTACAACTCTGGTTGGATGATCTGATTTTATTTATTGATCCTACCGCAGTGCCCTAAGTCTCTCATCCTTATGACCAAGACTTAGTTAAGACTAACCCGGGGCGAGTCAGTACCCTAGTTACGGGTTTCGCGCCTAACCAACGTAAACCGGGCGTCTCACTTGGGTGAGTCCGTTACCGATCTAAATTGGGTTTGACGAGTGACGGGGCGTCGGGGTGGCACAGACTTAAAATTATGAGGGATTTATAACGCAGTCTTGCCTATGGCATACACCGCGCGTATGCACTAGCGAAAATCACATACATGCATACATTCAATCATACATCACATGCATAATAAGTAAACGTGAAATGATTGTGGCTCCTAAAGAAAAACAAACGATAGCGCCTTGATCAAGAGATCTCTATCTCCAGCCCATCACGTCTTCCTTAGGATTCTCTATCACGAACAGACTTCGTCTTCTTACCTTCTTATAATTTTCGAGAGAAAAGAATATTTGAGGTAAAGAAGAGAATTACATCCAGAGTATAGAGATGAGGCACGACACGCAGGCCGTATTTAAAATTACAACAAATATAACTAAGCCACAATCATCCACCATGCAATAATACACACAAGCATCACATGCATCACATCATACATATTAAAGCATACACCGGGCGAACCGCGCTCGCCCCGGACCTAGTTTATTCTATTCTACGGAATAAACTATCAACAATAAATTAATTAAACTAGCAAGTAATTTAATTAAAATCATAAAATAATTTAAATTTCCAGAATTTTAGAAATTAGATTTTCTAAATTCCAGAAAATAAAATATTTTATATTTACCGTATTTATATATATTTAAATTCGAAAAAGGGCTTTTATTTCGAATTAAATATATATATGTTTTCTAAATTAGCAAATAATTGTTGGAGACTCCCAGTAAACTTCATTGATCTGGAAATCCTAAAATTCCAGAATGAATAAAATTTAAAATTTTGAAAACCATTTTTCTAAGATAGAAAACCGAAATTATATTGTGAAAATATATTTCGAAATTCCAAAAATATCAAAATTTATTTTTCAAGTCAAAAATAAGTTCCAGAACCAGAATATGATTTTTCTAGAATTTAAAATATTAATTTTGCAATTTAAAATAATTAAAAATCGGACTAGTGAATAGTACCGATCCAATGACTTCAAAAATACAAAATAAATATTTTTACGTGTTTAAAAATTATGAAAATTTTTATACAAGCTTAAAATCTTTGGGCGCAACTTATTATGAATTAAAAGTAATTTTTGATCGTCAAAAATAAGTTTTCCCATTTTCTATTCAATAAACAAATTTAAAAATAGAAAAATAGGAAATTAATTCCAAAAATCGATTTTAAAATCTCTGAATTATATTGACATGTCAAATACTTCCCAGAAAATATAAAATCTAATTTTCATAAATATTAAGTATTTATGGCACAAATAACAAGTATTCTACACAAAAACTACTTAATAAGAATAATATAAAAATACCCCAAACAGTAATTCCGAAAATTACTGAACAAAATTATATTAGGTCCAGTATCTAAATATGGCCACCTAATTAAAATTTAATGGGATAAATTTTTGTCTCCAAAATTTATTGACTAATCTACAAAAACAATAACGGTAAAAACTACTAAACTAGTAACTTCGTAAGCCGGCTCCGATACCACTGTTGGGAAACGAGGCTTGGATAACGCAGCGGAAAACAAAAATTTATAGTCCAAAACTCGATTCCACCCAAGAACAACTTACGTAAATTACTA